CTCCCTATACTTCAAAAGAACCTCAAGATTACAGCTGAAAGAAAAGAAAAATATTAGTACACACACGAGTTGGCTAGTTTCACATCTGTTTATACAGTGGTTCTTCCATTTCGGCTTCTGCTATTCTTGTAAGTTCCATTGCAGGTGATATCATGTGATGCTGCATGCCAAGGTGGCACTGCCAGTTTGAGCACAGCTGCTAGCGAGAATGAAGGCAACAAACTATTTGCTCCAAATCCCCCTATATATAATTTCAGAATTTGTTGAGCCTAAGTGGCAAACTCACGCGCTTCGGAATCCTACTTGGCGAAAATCATGCTTCGCAATTTGGTTTGGATAAAAAATAATGTTATTCTAAATCAATAATTTTGGTTCGGACATTCCATAAATATTGAAAAGCTAACTTGGGTAATTCCATAATACATTGATTAATATAACCCTTAATTTATTTTGTAAACTTACTTATTGTTGTTTGTATGACTAATATAGTCCTAAAATTTGTTTTGGAATCTTTTACTTTTCCAAATTGAATGTTACAATCAAAATAATTAATATATCAAATTTTTATGCATATATATTAAATTTTTATATATAAAATAATTAAATAATTTTATCTCTCTTATTATACTTATAAGAAAAAATGAGAGACCTCATATGCATGACACGTGGTGGTTTTTTCACTTCTGAAGCTCAACTAAATGCCTTCCACGTGGCTTGTTATTTTTTCACTTGCTGCTTTCCTTTTTTTCCCCTCATTTTTTCCTTTTTTTTTCCCCTTAGTCAGGGCGAAACGACGCCGTTTCATGTATCTTATCTGTTAAGAATTGCTGTAGCTAGATTACTCAAACACGCAACACTCATTTTTTCCCGTCTTTCACCATCATTCATATCACATCAAAACCTATATCGGCCACAACTTTGTTTACCTTTTCCTGCAACCCGACATGCCTCCTCTGCCGCTCCGACAAACACATGCGGCCTCAAGGTCCATCCACCGACCACACAATCTAACGAAACGTGTGGCCCACTCTTCAACTGGTGGTGCCTGATGTTTCGTTGTTTGGGAAGCCGACGGTCGTTGTGGTGGAAAAGGAAGAAACGTCGCCTCAGCCGGGATAACGACGGCCGCGGGCATTCATATTCTTCTTGCTCTCCCTTCGATTTGAGAGAAAGATCCTTTTCTCTGAAGAAAATTTCAAAAGATTTATTCGAATTTTACGATCATTCACGATTTGTGTTTTCTACAGCGCAGGCCTTGGTGAATTGAAAGTTATTCGCCCGTCTCATGGATCAAGATCCGTCGTCGTCCGCTCCACGAAATGTCTTTCCACATCTGCTTACAATCAGCCGCTCAACGTGATTTTTACAAATCATTTTGTTTAACTATTTCATATATCGATGTTGTTCAGGTCAAGTTTGCTCCAAAAGCACCCGCTCCTAAAACACCGAAGTCCCCAGCTGCCAAGATGTGCCCTCCACTGCTCCACATTTCCCTGGTTTAAGGGAATCGCCGTCCTAATGAGGTAATTCTTCAGCTGTTGTGTAATGTTTTTCCTTGGTATTTGCCTTGCTTTTTTCTAGTGTGTGCGCGAGTGTGTGTCTTTGTGAAGAAAGCTGGATTTTAAATATCCTAAAAAGCCTTCATTAGTCTCTCAGTCTCTTAAACATTGTTGGTGAACCTAATGTTGAAGTTAGTGACATTCAATTGCATCTATTATGGATAAAATTGTCCAATAACATCTTTAGTATTCTTCAAGGTAACATACCGTCTATTATGCATTTGGCCTTTTCAACATCTCATGGTAACAAGTCAATGGGTGGATAAGTTAATAGCAATTGCTTCTGATCAAATTAATTTGAATACAGCTTGCAGGCGTTGTTGCCAGTTGAAATCACTGGAGGCCCGACAATTGATAGAAAGGTACAATTAGTGAATTTTATAGAAATATAATGAATCTTCCCTTTTGATTAAGGCTGAGTTGTGTCTTCCCATTGGCCATTTGAAACTGGTTTCAGTTACATTCCGTCCATTGACTTGTATTTTAGCGGCATCCACAACAATCTTAGTGGTAGCCACCTCATGTTTTTTCATGATTCAAAGAATACTCCAAGGGAAGTGCGGCTTCCAAATGCTACTAAAGGTTTGATTAAATATTATGGGAGTTTTAGTTGTCTCATAAATCAGTATACTTTTTTTTGCCATGGTTTTTAATTGAAATTCTTTTTTAACGTTGTGAGATATACATATAGATACCCACTTTCTTCTTAAGAAATTGTTTAAGTTCTTCAGCATTAGTCTTCCCTAAGGGTATATAGCGCCTCTACTTGAATTTGGATACTAATTTTCAGTCTGGTTTACTTGTGAGTGTACAAGTCTCCAAAACTGATTTGATGATTTTCTATTGCACTCTTGAAATTTTAATGTTAGGTGTGCCACATCTTCGACAATTGTTCTATCGTATGGGATTGTCTGCAGGATCGATGTAATTGAGCTCGACCCCACTACGCGGAAGAGGAGCATTAGAAAACGCTTGGTGGCAGTGGCCACAACCTGGTAATTATCATTTCAAAATTTTAATTTGATATACTACCTACTCAACTTTGTTTTCCCTACTCAAGTTGCAACAAATAAAATAGCAATGTTAGGAAAGAGAAGATTAGAGCACATCCTGAGAGATCCCGAAAGATATGGCTTTGATATTGTTTCAGGAAAGGGCATGCTTCAAGTAATTTGTTTGAGCTCCCTATACTCTTGTTCTATATTTTTTGTTTGCTTGTATGCGTCTTTGGTTTACATTCCTTTTAACCAGAGAATTGCTTAAAGGAGAATCTGAGGGCTTGCTAAAACTCCCAACTGGTGTTGCATTGCTGATGATCCAGAGTTTAGACGTTGTGTTTAGCTTTATGTCAAGGTGAAGTATTGTAAGTAGTTACTTCTACAATCAGCACTCAATAATTCTATGTGTGTGTGTGTTGCTATGCTATTAGTACTGTAAAGCAGCTCAAATATTCATTTACTTTGCAAAACCATATCTTCTTCTTCAAACAGTAAGTAATCCGTTGTCAAATTAATTTAGATTCAAATTTGGATCCAAATAAAATTTGGCTGTGAAAATACAAGTGCTAATATTGGTGTTTGTATCAAATGCCTGTCCTTAGATCTGAGATCTGCTGGTTGTTCTGAAAACTACAAATAATCTTTGTCCTAGGTATGATTGCTTTTTCTTATTTCGGAAGTCTGTTGGAATACATGAAATGCTGCTTTTATGCTTCTTCTTATGTGCATCATTGGTTTTATGTGTGATCTGATGTGTTGGTTGATCGAATGAATTGGACAAGATGCTCTTTTTTGTATTTTATTTTATTTTTTTTATATTTGAGCATGTAAATGTGATTTTAGTTTTTTACCCATTCTAAAGGGTGGTTTAATACTTGTTTCTGTGAAATCTTGATCTTTCCTGGATTTGTGTTTGCTTAGTTCATATTCAGAATGGTGTATGAAATTCTAGAATTGTGAGTTTGATGGGGTGAGAGCGATTTTTGTAGCTTTATTTGGCAGTTTAATTTAATAATACGATCAAAATAAACTTATTGATGCACTTTCTTCAGCCCACATGATATTTTCTCACACAAAGCACTCATAATTTTACAGACAAATTCTCGCGGAGGATAGAANAAAAAAGAAACTAGAAAATATTGCTTGAATTTGGGCCGGCTGTGCGTGCACAGCCGGAATCCCACTAGTTTATATTTATAATTAAAATTAAATTATCTATTAATATTAATTCAAAAAAAAATATAATTATTTAAATTAACTTAACTACAAAGTAGTTATTTGATATAAATTAGAAAAATATATAATATAAGATGGTAAGTCGTGTAAGTGACGATGCCAATTTAAATATAAATGATAATATATTTTGAAAATATATTTAAAAACTAAATCAATTTTCATTGTTATTATTATTTAATTTGAAATATAACTTTATTGACAAGTACCTGTGTAATACACGGGTATTGTACTAGTGTAGTATTATTCATAAGAAGACGCATCAACTGGTTTAGAGGAAAAACCTTTGCTTACACTCATAGGTAGCTAAAAATTACTTGATATTTTGAATGTAACGGAGGCTAATTTGTTAGAAGTTGTACTGACTTAGTTTGTGAGTTTCTCATGCTTTTGGCAATGATTTGTGTGTCTGATTGTGCTAATTTTATTTTGTGGATTGAATCAACGTTAATATAATTATCTGCTAATAATAGCAAAAATTGCTATTACAAGATTTCCTAGGATTTCTTATTATAAAAATGTTTGGTACAATAACATTACGAAAGTACATTAGATTTTAAAAGTTGCTTTTGACCCTAAAGATAATATTTCCTAATGTTTACATTTTATTACAGACAGTTTTAGCAGTTAATCTAACCAGTAATGCTACATGCCAGATATTTTTTTCTGCATTCTATATGAAACAAGTACTTGTCTTGTTCCTAAAATTACAGATTACCATGCATTAAATAAGGCCAATTTCTTATATGCTGGTCCAATATAGTTTGTAAATCATCTCATAATATAAGACCACTAAAAGGAAGTAAGTTTTATCTTGGTTGACAAAAAATCTTTCATTTAGTTACAAACCCAGATTTCCCTAGTGTTTTCATTCTGAACCTTAAATCTAGTACCTAAAATGAATGATTTTAAGTATTCTAATTGTAATAATTCTCACATTACACTAAGAAATATGATATTTTACCACAACTAGTTATGATTGCATATACAAAGCTTTCTTAATTTCTTATCTTTGGTACTATCCTTTGAACAACAAAAATAAAATACTCATATATTTGTTGAAATTTCCAAGATAAAAGAATCACATAACTTCATAATATCAATTGGTCCATATACCNNAAACAAAACTATTAGTCCATATCTATCCATGGACTGCCAGAACCTATTTCTTTACATTCTTTTCTTAACCAATATTTGTAGGTTTTACCAAGTCTTAAGGGATGCTTGGATATAAGTCTTTTTTATTTTGTATGGTTAATTTTTAAAAAAGTGATATGGTTAGTTGCTAGTGAGATTTTTAATTAATATTAAAATAATATTATAAATAAAATAATTAAAATTAATTTGATGTAAAAGTAAGAGATATTATATGAAGTGATGGTTAGTTAAATTTATGTGAGTGGATTAAAAAAAAATTATGTGAGTGGATGAATAGTGAATTAAAGTTGATATAATGTGTAAGAATGATTGAGTGACATTATTTAATTATATTGATAATATTGAGGATAATAAGGTTGAGTGAAAGTTGAGTTAGATTAGAGTTAGAAAAAGTGATTATTAAAAATGATTGGATTTTTTTTTTTGAAAATATTATATCCAAGCATCCCCTAATTGTACTCAAGTAGTACAACTCACTGTTCATAAGGTTGTATTAATTGATACAGGATCCAATTCATGTAACTTAAGGTATTAGAATCACCTCGGTATATTTGGTAGATCTACCTGAAAAACGAGCTAATAGCTAATATTATATTTGCTCACGGGTATAGTTGATAGCTGAAAACTAGCTGATATAATATAATTTTTTGATAAAAATTAACTGATAAGCCTGCTAAAACAAAATTATCAATGAGTTTTTACTTAACAACTGCATCGATAAGCATTTGAGAGAAATTCAATTTTTTTTAAAAAGTTCATTCTACCAAACTAGACTTAGGGTACGTTGGTAAGTCCAGCTAAAAAGCTAGACGGTGCCTAATAAGTTAATTGATAGCTAAAGAGTTACTTTCGAGCCGATAGCTAACACATGACGATGACCAGTGTTATCAAATGGCGGCAATGGTTGCGCCATGGCGGTATGGCGTGGCGGATTTTTGACAATCCAACATTTTAAATTTGTCAAGGATGGCAGATTATGGTGGTAACATAGGCCACCATTGTTGTCTGATGTTGTCTGACATATGTGTTTGGTAAGCATCATAAACTATCATAAACTTTCAGTTAGCTTTTAAGTTTCTTGTATTCAAATGAGAGTGTTTGGTTAGCATTATAAGCAAACTTATAGCTTATTTACTTAGCTTATGAGTTTTTGTATTGAAATAAATTTTATTAAATTTTATTTGGCAGGATGAATTTTTTAAAAGTCCGAGCTTATCTTAGATGCTTCTCTACGTATCAAAAAAAGCCTATGAGATTTTTGTTTAAATTAACTTACTAGCTGCTTTTACAAATTATTTACCAGATAATTTAGTTAAAAAGAATTCTTACTAGCTTTTACATTCAAACCAAAAAATATTACTTTATCTAACTTTTTGATTATCTAAGAAAAAATATAATATGAGTGATCATAGACTTCTATCCATATAGAGGCAGACTAAAAATAATGTGATCGCGAACAAAGAATATGGTAGAGAAACTCAAATTCTTGCTTGATATGATATTATGTAACTATTTATTTAATGCGTTGCTTATATATATTGTGGTAATAAACTGAAATTTCATAGATACCGTCTTCAGCCGAGAGCCCTTCTTCAATGCGACCGAATATTGTGAGACATTACAAAAATTTATATATTCTTCACGAGTCCTGCATGTTACAAATTGAAACTAAATGATTTAGCAATTAGGGAATTTGAATTTAACCAGAACTATAAACCATGTATAATGTAGTGAAACTAGCAAGATCGTTGAGAACTTCAGATAACCAAGATAAATCATGTTTACATCTCTACAAATAGTTACTGCTGCTTGAGAAGAAAAAAAGTTCATGTCTGCAAATAGTTAACCATGCTCGAACAAAATAAGTGACGCCCTATGGAAGTATAAGAAAAATAGCAACTGCATTCAAACAGAAGAACAAAATAGACAAAGAAAAGGTTTTTTTTTTTTTTTTGGTTCACTTTTAAGTATTTCTCACTGCCTTGCCTCAAAAATAGAAAAGAAACAGAAAATAGAAGAGTACTTCTCTTTGCCAAAACAGTCATCATCATACATCAACCTAGAGAAAAACCAGATTTGACAATATGAAGAGTGCTAAAATAGCTTTTCTTTCTCCATCTGTTGTTCAACAAATAACTGGTGGACGAAAAATAAGAGACGCACAAGCAGCTGTAAGTTGAATTACCTTTTTACCATAGAAATGAAAACAGATCTAGGATGGACAAAAGAAATAAAGAACATAATATGAATACTTAATGCTAATATGACCAGAAATCTGCCTACTGAAGAAATGAGGAAAAGAAGAAAGAAAGAGAAAAGGCTCCATAGTTAGATGGAAATTATACTATTCCCTTTGAAGAAAGCCCACGCTCCACATAAGTTGTCCCTCTATGAAGAACATGGAGTTTTGCAAGGGGATTATAAGCACCAATCAAATTATCAAATAAGACAAATATAACAAAGATAACATGAGAACTATTTGCATTTCCTCTTGGCAGCGCTCCACAAGTTTATTCAAATCAATCACTTTATGTTTATTCCAAAACTCAATTAAAATCTAAAACCTTCAAAACAGTCCTCTCCAGTGGAGAACACAATTAAAAAAAATCAGCATATATGAGAAAATAACTGAACCCAAGGATTTTCAGAATAAAAAGAAGAAAAAAAAAAAAATAGACACAGGTCATTCCAATTTATTAATATATCATTAGCAATACATTTCAAATCATCAAAGCTTCAATGTCAGATCCAGCTCATCAGGGCTTTTATCATCATCTACATTAACATGATCACTCATTTTCTCAATTGGCTTATCTAGTTGCATGATGTATGGCTTTGTATAGTGCCCAAAAGGATCCTCAGGCTCGTTTTTTAAATCTGGTAGGGGATGTTTACCGAGAGAGGTACTCGGGATCCATGATGGTAAACTACCATCTGTTACAAAGCGAGAGTGACCTGGTGAAGCAGATGTACAGGGATTCATAGGAAAACGAGTGTTTGATCCTTCCATAATATTTGAAGTACAAATATCAGGTGTTTTAGGCCTTAAGGTAGAAAAAAAATTCAGAGGGCCACTAGGACCCGAGCCCGACGAGCCAATTCCCACAGCAGAACGGGAACTTGATGGCAGTTGATATGGGTGGTACCTGTGAGCAAATGTGGGCCCTCTGGGCTGCACAGGAATTTGTGGCGGTACTGAAACCACAGGATTACGGAATGAGGGTGTAGGTGGGGTTCCTAAATTTTGATTTGCAGCATTTGCTGGCACCAAAAAAGAATGACCATTTTGGGAAGAAGTTGAATATATTTTCATTTCAGTTTCAGGTAGCACAAAATTTCTGATGAGTGAATTTGGATTGAAAGTCCCATCAGGATGAAAATGAGATTGAAAGTGGTTCAGAAGGGCTTTGTTGTCAAAGAAGATTTCATCACACAAACGACAGGCAATTGGTGTCTGCTGTTTTTGCTTTTGGACTAAGCTTTCAAGCAAAAAGACAAGTTTGTGATCAGCTCTTAATTCATCCCATGATCGGGCCATGACAGGACAAGATTGAATACCAAGGAACAAACAAGGAAAGATTTAGGAAAAATAAGGAAAATGAAATAGATACAAGAGAAAATTGTGCAATGACCGAGGCCAAATGCACAAGGAAGAGGACAAGGGATGAGGCCTTCTTACAGGACGTGCACATATTTATACACACATACGGGATGCTGACAATAAGAAATATTGAATGAATTGTGCTACATCCAGTCAAATGTCAAATCTAATTATTACTATTTGAAAGGTAGATTTCGATTTATTGTGATTGTTATAATTTCTTACCACAGTTGCGCAAATACATCTTTTGGAAACTTCAACCATTCAAGTCGTATTGCTCTATTTTAAATGCAAATAATCTGAACTGTTATTGAAATATTATAATAATTTCTAACCTACTTAAAAATAAAGAACTACTTAATTCTGCAGACTTGATTCAAAACCAAAATCATCGCAAATTTATATCACATTGCTTCTTAATGAAAAAGAAATAATCAATTCAATCCGCAAGATCATTCCCACTGACAAACATGTCATGTGTTTTAATGAAACAATTTCCTTTTCTTCTTTAGGCTGGATGAATAAGTTCGAAGTTGAAGGGAAATTAAGTACTTAATTGGGTCGACGTATTAACTCTTATGGAGTTCTATATCTAACAACAAAATAAAAATTGTAACAGTTACATGATTTTGTCATGTTTGAGATAGATGTTGCGAATAAGATATATTAAGTCTAATCATTGTAGTTATTGTCAAGCTGCATTAGATTTTGAACCAAGAGCAATATAATATTTCAGTAAACCTTCTCTGCTCTGCGAATTTGAAACAAGATTTTCAATATGAGTAATTTTACATTGATTGTATGTACTGAATTTTAAAAATATGTAGAACACATTAGTCATCACATGGTAAGAAAGTAATGATGGTTTATATAAGAAAACTCACTAGAAAATATTAACAATCATATTCCTTTAATTGATCTTAAATTCACAGTTCCTTCCAAAGCATTAATGAAAATTCTGTGAGATTTGTAAAGACAAATTGAGTTACATACACCCTCCATATAAGTTCATGTCCTTTTATTACAAGGCAAAGTCAAAATGTATATAATCTTTTACTAACTTATGTTGATACTTTGACAATTAAGGTACAATTACAGTCAAACTATAATATAATTAATTTTTTTAGTTATTAAAACATTTACCCTCTTGTCTTGAATTAATGTTATACAAGAACTCCCACAATAAACAATTCTATAATTTATTTCAATCATTTATGTACAGTTGTGAAAATACACAATACAATTATTGTCGAGGACAACAGTGTCAAAAGAAGCTCAATATTCACTTTTAAGATATAGTTAGAAGACCATGGCTAACAAGGTCAGAGCCTATTCCCCGTGAGATGGATAATAAACTAAATAGTCCAATACATTCAGAAGGTATTCTTCCAGCTTATATGATACAACATCAAGTAGCAATTTTACATGACGAATGTGTATATGATTAGAAGCACTTTGTATCATTGACTTGAAACATAAAAGTTTTTTCATCCATATCACTTGTGTATGCTTCAATTTTCTAAATTACCATTATAGAAAATTTTTAAAATTAATGGAGATGTAAAGAACTAAGTAATAGAATTCAATAGAACTGATTTCCTTTTCAGTAAGAGTAAGACACTCCGTATTCATCACTGAGATTTCCGTTATCGTTTGCAACACATAATCCATCTTGTCTTCTATTTTATTTATGCATACCCTTTATTTTAACGCATTCTTCTGGTTTTCAAATTTTCTTGTCTCCTCCCCATGCTTCCTAGTGCTTTTCTCCAACCAACTAATATTCTCTTTCCAATATATTGTACTCATGCTTTTTTATTATTTTTCACTTCTTTTCTTTTTTTCTTTTTACTTTTTGGTTGTTGTTTCAATTGTTTATCATGCAAAGAAAAGGTCTTTTCTATCACATCACCATAACGGCATAACCACCAAATTACTTAAAAATGTTTGATTCTGCACACAACCAATTATTTGAGACACAACATAAAGTTGATCATATAATTGTTATTTCGAGTCAGTTCACCACATTTAAAAACCTAAGTCAAATGCTTATGCAATTGAACAAGTTTTGAACCACAACTTCGTACCATGAAAAATGAGAACATCACACACGGAGAGACAATTCAAGAAAAATTTGGTAACACTGGATTGAAGCTTAGTCAAGTTTATTGATAATCATTACAAGCATCCATACAACTTCCAGCGTGGATGGATACTTTAAGCCATTTTTTTATATTATTTCCTTTTATCTATCTATTCGCCTACATACCTAGTCGATGATGTAAAAATCTCTAAAACAAGAGCTAAAATATTGGCCAAATACATGTAAGCTGTAACCATGTTTCCTTCCACCAGTCCCCTCTTGCATTATCTCACTAAAGTTCTAAATATCATATTTCAACATTTATACACACCTGTTCTAGTATCATCCCTTTCCATAATTAGAATCCATTACTTGAACCTATTCAAATAAACCTAAAATCTTGCACTCTGAAAATCATTTACCACAGGTTTTCCATAGTGGTGGCAAATGAAGATATTCTCTTGAGCAAAAGACTATCTTCTTTTCATTGTAGTGGTGGCAGGCATTTTGGTAGCACAAATCTAATCTTTCATTAAATCAACAGCTCTCAATCTAAAATTCTAGTCAAAGAATTCTCGAATCTGTTAGTTGCATCACAGTACCGACTAATATGAACACCAGCAGTAGCTCAATAGCAATCAAAATTCATCACGATAAAGCAAACTTGTTTCTTCAAGAATTTATTTGCACATACCACTAGAAATCTTCCATCACCTGCTTTAGCATGGATTGGTCATCAAACCAGAACTTCGAGATCCTCCGTCATCTGCTGTTTTTCAAACGGATATTTGGAGAATCTCCAAATAATTTTGGCTTATGAGAATTGAGATGGGGAATTTGGGATAGCGGAAAAAATAATAAAATAGAACTATAGTTATGCTGGATTCGGGTCGGGATACTCGATATCCATAACTTTTTTTTAATCACTAAATACCGTCTCCTTTTTTACTACCTACCGTCCCATATACAGTTATACATATTAATTGATTGTATAATTTTATTAATTAATTAGTTTGTATAATTATATAATCAAAAAGTTGAATTATATTAATTATGTGGTTAATAATTGTAAAAGTAGAATTGTATTTTTAATAATATTCTTTTTTAATACTTTTAAAGATTATATTATATATATTAGTTAAATGTAATTATATGAAATTATTTTTATAAGAATTAAATTTAATTCTAACAAACTAATTATGTATTCATAGGATAATGCATCTAACTTATATTATTTTTAGGAAAATAATTACTTGTAATATTTAATAATGTATTTGAATTAAATAATTAGTTACTATATGCATTAGTTAATAGGTAATTAGTAGTAAACCATTATTACTATTTAATAGGTTGGTCATAGGTGTCCATAGGTCTGAGGAAAGACGTAGTGTCAGTTGTTAGGTAATTCATTAGTAAACAAATAAGCGTCGAGCCAATCCTCTTTGACACGGGCAAGAGTACTAGGCATGCGGACGACGAAGACCAAGTCTTCGGTTGTTTTCGGAGAGGCACCAGGAAAAGGTTGGCCTAAGGGAATCGTACCGGCTTGGGGAGCAGGTCGAGGAGGGGACTCCACGTCGTCCTTGGACTCATCGACCAAAAGGAAAGGTCGAAAAGAAGAAGGATCAAGCTGAGAAGTTGGAGGAGCTGGTCGAGACGACAGTGAAATAGGATGGGGGATGACCTCCAAAGAGGAGGCGGAAGAAAAAGAGTGAGAAGAGGAGATTGCAGAGGAGAAGGGCGAGGTCATATCTTGACCGACAGAGGCACCATCAATGTCGTTGGTGGCACGGAAATCTAAAAATGAAAATAAAATGGGAAAAATTTAGGTTTGAAAGGGGGACAGAAGAAAGGAGATCGCCAAGTAGGCGAGTGAAGGAAAACAAATAGAAAAGAATTACATATACAAGTTAACGAATAAAAGCAAAAAGAAAAATACTTACTCAGCAACATAATGGATTGGTGGTTGAAATATGTAGTGCTGGTCGACGACGGAGTAGTGACGGAGAGAACCTCAAATTTGCAAAAAAAACAAAGAGAGTTATAGCATGAGATTTTTTGCAAAGGTGGAAAAACCGAAAAATTAGGTTAAGGGTTTTATTTATAGGTAAAGAGAAGAGAAAGCACGAGAGGTCGATTAATCTCGATCAGGATCATGGTCGAAATGAACGGTCAAGATTAAAAGTGTCAGCTGAAGGAACGCGTCGAGCAGGACCGTCGAATCAAAGTCGAAATGAGCGGGTGAGATTAAAAAGAGCAGTTGAAAAGATAACGCACTTATAAAATGTTGGATTAAATGGAAATCAGACGGTTGAATTTAATGCGGCATTTAATGGCACACTACACAATGACGACACATACTGCGAGGCATTCACGTGGGCAAGATGTCATCCTAATGGGGAAAGACGATAGATTTCACCTGACAAGGTGTGAGGAATTCAAATTTTGAATTTTAAACTAAAAAACTGTGGCCTTAGGTCGAAAGTAGTGTGTTAATTAAACGAATGGACTGCAAGTTTTGAGGTCGGCTAGACAAGCTGTAAGCTCGATAAATGGATTAAAGATGGCAAGAATTACTCTTAGATCGAGTCATCCTACCTCGACCAGAGTGGGAAGAAATAGATGATATGAGATACATATCGTGTCTACTTGACCCGAGAGGCGGAACAGACGAACCGGGTAAACCGTCAGGTCGATAAGAGATCGAAGGCTAGAGAAGTCGAAAAGTCATCATGTCGATGGTGACGTCGCAAAAAATGAGGATCGCCGACATGTCGAGCTAGGACCCTCAGACGGCCTGGTAAAAACTCGACCTGAAGGTATGATGGTCGATGGATCGACTTGGGGGACAGCGTACGAGCTTAGCGCATATGACACTCTACCTTGAGGTGAGTCAGGTCGGTCACACGATTAGACCGACAGACTAATAAATTAGATAGAATTTAATTGGGATAAGAACTACACGTGGATTGGACCATGTGGCCTAACAAAATTGGGCATTTCGAGCACTCAAGCAGTACGAACGGGCAATTCGAACACTCGAATATGCCAATTTACACTCTACACTCTAAATACTCAAAAATCTTATATATTCATCGTCTTCTTCATCACTGTAAACTGACTTGATCGTCAAAGTGCTAACGCCGAAAACTCCTCCCTATTCATTTTACCAACCCATTTTACAAATCTTTGAATAAGTTAGGAAGCAGACCCAAGTCGTTCAAACTCGGCCGAGGTCTCTTTACACACCACTACCATACTTTAACAAAGCATGCTTGACTTCATTAATTTGGTCCCCAAAGCCCCCCAAATAATATTATAATCCCGAACACGTTTTTAAACAAATGACATTCATCAAATCAAAAAATATTACAAATCAATGAAAGCATCAGCATAAACTCTTATCCGCAGCAGGGGAATTCAAAAAAATCAGTTCTCAGCCATAAGCATAAAGCGAGCTCATTAAACCTTCAAATCTCGCTCAACTTTATGAGGGTAAAAGGACAAATAAATTGTAAAAGTAAACATTAGAACCTTAACAGAAAATAAACCTCATCACAAGTAACAACGAGCAAGTGAACATGCACGACCCAAAAACTCAAAAGGCAACATCTGTATCAGTTTGGTTCTTAACTTCAAGAATCTGAAATCTATCTCGAGACAAATGCTAATTAGCTTTAATTGAGCAGCCACTCACTTTCTACACCAAAAAAGATCATAAATTTCAAATTTGTTTCATAATTTCAACAAAACTAAAAGGTCCCTAAATTCCTCCCAGATGGACGATCCCTGCAGAATTTACTACCACAAAGGCACTCAAAAGCCTTCCCCAGATGACAATCATCAAATTCAACTCCATAGTCCTGCATGCATGAAAGGGGTAAATGTATTTACCACATATTATATATAGCGAACGGTTTGGGAGTTTATACAACAAAATCGAAAAACCAAACTCAATATGACACAGGACTGAAGAAAAGGAACTAACCCAAGTTAATTCTTCCAAAGCATTAATCTCCCTTGTTGCAAAGAAAGCCAGCTACAAGAAAGGTAAATCTCATTATATAAATTCTATAGAGCTAATTATAAAAGCTACCCTTGGGGTTCTAATAGCAAAAATGATACCAATCACACTTCAAAATTACAAGAAGACTTTGAATAGTTTTTGCTACATGGACCTTTCTGTATATAAAAGACAAACTGAACAGTTCGACCTTTACACAATTAGGCCAAACCACAAAGTTTTCTTTTTCCAAAAAAAAAAATAAAAAACCAAGAAGACGAAAAAAGGACGGATTTACCGTACATGGTAATAGTGATGATCTGGAGACTCCATCTCGACAGGGATCCCAACCATATTGGCATCAAAACACCTAATAAAAAATGTGAAACATGACCATGAACATGAACAAAATTCTTTCTTACAAAAACAGTTCATGCAAATAGAGGCTTGATTCAAGTATAAATTAAAAATCAGGACCAATACCTGTGATTAATGAACCGCGCGATATTACCATAAAAGGTCGCGTCCAGACAAAGAGCCTCGTTCTCCTTCAACACACGTTTTGAACTCCAATCGGCATCAAGTAGAACAGAGAAGGTATGGTTGTTTGCGTTGCTATTTTTCTCGTTTCTTTCTAGTAGCTCTTTTATTGTGACAACTTCTCCTACATATTCGCATATAAAAGCGCCTTTCGGTAAGTCCTCCAGAGCTCTAAGACCCCATCCTTTGCCTTCGGGCGTCATAAACACCTAAACAATGAGTGGAAAACACAGTCCGACACCAACACAGTTATTCTATGGTAAAATTCAAAACGATTGTTGTTAAAACTATAATTATTATCAGGGTTAGTTAAAAAATATATTCCTTAGTTTAGCCAAAATATTCATATGATACTCATTTAAGCTGTACAAAAGAAGTGTTTCTATGTTCTTTTCTTTTTTCTTTTTTTTTTTAATACTTAAGACTTAACATCATGCAACTTGGCTGTGATTCCTCGCTGGACAACTCGGTTTCCACAAGTGAGGCTGCAACCACATTTATACCAACACTCCTTTATGAAAGCCCGACTCATGTGGCCCACGCATTTGCCGGATGAATTCTCACCAAGAGTAGATCTTTGCAACGGGCAGTCTTGACAGAAGAAAATACCGTTTTTGGACAAAGATTGACTCTTAGATAAGAAATCGTCCAAAAACACTTCCTTCACTAAGCCCTCCTTCGTATAAGCAAACTCATGTCTTGTTTTTCCAGCACAAGCACATGGAACTTCCAAAGACAAGCAGTCCTCGAGGCATTCTGAACAGCAGTCATTTCCAGATACACGGGCCAGGGCAAATGGGATGCATGCACTCTTGTATGCTGCACTTTTCGGAATGTATTTGAATTTGGGACACTTAACTTCATTTATCCCATTTATTAACGCAATTTCGCAAGGTTCGTGACCTTTAGTTATGTCTCTAACATAACTATCACAGCCCTTCTTCTGGAAAACCACCAACGCGTGGGAAGAACATGCAGCACGCGGATTTCTTTCCTTAGTTTCTCCATCAGTCATTACAGGACCACCACTCGCATCCATGTTAAAGTATGTTTCCGACCCAAAAAACCTCGGAATTTGAGATGAAACCTCGAAAATGTTTTTAACCATGAATGGATCATTTGAAATGGTTGGCTCGCTGATAAGACTGAGCTGCAGCTGGTTAGTGTCCTCATCCGAACAAATTTCCAAATCAGTTTCTTCTGACACACCGAGAGCCGGAATTTCATTCTCAAGTCCCAGTTTTTCAGGATTTGCTGAGGTGGTACCCGTGGCTAAAAAATGTTGGCAAACTTCTTCCATGAGTCCAAGCAAAGAAAAGCTGCCTTGAGGGATTTTGTATGCCTTTATGCATCGATCCTCGACCTGCTTCAATACTTCTTCTAAGTTCGGGACACAAAATTCTGGTCCTACTGAAGCATTGATGGAAATAGAAATTTTTGAGTCGCCTTTCGATGAGGTGGCAAGATCGAGCTTCAGACAATCTTGACCGTCCTGTTCAATCTTTTCAGGGTCGGGATGTTTATAGATCACAGATTCTGAATGAATTTGTTCCAACTTAGAACTTTTTTCAAGGGAACAAGAATCTTTAGGAAGCATGTCAAGATCTGTGCCTGCACAGATAGAATATTGCACAGGAACGATTATAGACTATTATAACTCATAAGAAAATTGAACATGTAATTGAAACTGGCAGAATGTTGTGCCGACCTTACAACACAAAGAAGAAACTTAAATTTTTTTTAAGAGAAGTACTAATCAGGCCCGTCCATTTTCTGGGAGCACAGTATAAGACACTTCTTGTCACATGAAAAATCAATATGATTTTTCAAGTAACATAATTCTTTTACATCAACCCCAAACACGAACCTTCACATTCACTACCAAAACTAGTGTCGTAGAGCAGATAAGAAACAATGAGGCACAAAAGAATGAGAAAGTGTACTTACATGTGTCCTCTGGATCCAAATCTATCACTTCAGGATATTTAGAGCAACTCTCTTCGGCATTGGAGCAATTCTCGTATGAGCTTTGTTGCAGTAGGAGGATAGGAGGATCTGTGAACACAGGAATAAATTCATCGATAAAAACCTTGCTAAATCAAAAACAAAAGGACTACCTAACATGAATGCATATTGGAAAACAATCATCACATTGATATCATCTAAATAATAGATCAACATCACTCACTAGATAAGAGAATATTTAAAAATGTTGATGTAAAATCCTATGTAAAATGTTGATGTAAACAAGAATCAAAGCAGGAGCAAAACACTTGATGAGATATAAACGCACCTGGAGGAAGCACTGCAAGAGGAACCTCGAAACTAAGCAGATCATCAGCCACGGTCTCATTATCACCCATCCAAGTAAAATCGGGACGTAAATCAGATTCCTCTCCAAAATATTCCATGTCCTCGTTGGGCACCATGGAGCAATATCTGTCAATTTCTTCATCATAATTGAGTTCAGATGATGTTTCTTGCTCCACCGAATTCTTGCGCTTGCGTTCATAGCACTTTCGGACTTGTGAGCCACTGAGTTCGTTATCTTCATACTGATGCTTCTCAGGAGTAACCTCGGCCAATTTTTGCTTGCCATGGGTTTCATTCTTGACCTCAACGCTACAGCTTGTCGTGAAAGTATTAATCGGTGCTGATGATGACTTGCTTTTTTGAAGGCTGTTCAGTCGAGGCCTCTTCACGAGTGGCTCCTCTTTTTCAGCCTCATCCTCGGACCTTCTATTTGGTTTTCTTGACTTAGTGCCATGTGCCTGAAATAAAATATATGTATATTATATATATATATCCAGAAACATGCTGTATACTTCCCAAAAGAGTTATACTAGGAAAAAGGAAAAAAGTGAATCAGGCCATGTCATAAATGAGAATGGTCCATGCAACAACTTAGATGATTTCTGGTTATTCACAATCACAATCCAAATAAGTAGAAAGCAAGCACACGGCTCACCTTATTGTCCTCGCTATCTAGAATAGCTTCAATAAGAACTTTGTAGTTATCGTCTTCAATGAGTGTCCAGTTATCTTCATACAATGTGAGAAGCTGTTTCACGATTGGCCTCACGATACTTTGAGAATATCCCATGCCCTTCATTGCCTTGTAGGCCTTTGTGTAATTTTGCTTTGGCGGCATACCTCGTGTGGTGATAGTTTAAACGGCTTGAATCAGTAGAAGCTTTCACCTGTTGTGGTAGTAAAAAGAAAAAACTTAAAGATCTAAAATCCATACGACAAGTCAAAACATGAATTCTGACCAAAGCTAAAAACCTTCCTCACATCTGTAAAATACAATGAGATTACACTTAATTGTCAGGTGTTAATGATGTTTTTATGATACCCATAGGCAGATTTTTAAATCTAAAACGAACCGCGTAAAAGATAAATAATGATTTAATTCTATAAGGATTCCGTGAAAATAATAACTTTGCGTTTATGACGATTTCTTCTTGACATGCCATGTCAGGCAAGTGACCTAGTGTGGTGCTCTCATATAATTTTCTTTTTCTTCCGGAAGCATTGTAGTTTGATTAAAAATGCATATGTTAAAAAGTCTTACTTTTTGTTAAGCTAATAGCACATTTAAGCTAGAAACAAATTTGTTATGGCTATTACAAATTATCCTGCATCTCGAGCCATACAAACACACGCACATGTACATAGTGACTTCCAGAAATCAACCCAGTAAATTTCAGAACAAGAAAAATCCTTTATTTGAGGATCATACTCAAACCCAACTTGCCTAGCCATTGAAAACCTCAACTCTCTCTCTCTCTCTCTCTCTCTCTCACACACACACACACACACACATACATACAGACTTTCGGGATCTCCCTTTTCTTCTTTTAACAGAAAATGCAGGGCATACATATTAAACCCAATAACAGCAAAATAAACATTATATTATATACTTTTTAGAAAATTAAAAAGTTGTCCATACAGTTTTAAACCCTCAACATCTGCTTGGAATGAGGGTTTCATGTAATAAACCTGAGTTTTAAAAAATAAAAATAAGAAACGACCATGTATTCAAAATCCCAAAAAAGACAGCAAGTAGAAAAGAAACAGCAAAAAATGAAAGGGAAAATCTCAGGATCTCGAAAACATACACAATATAGTTGCAGAAAACAGAATAAAGGTTTTGTAGCATCAACATCCAAGTAATGACCCTCAGTACACGTATTCTTCTCGAAAAAAAAAGCAATGTAAGAAACAAGGAAGAAATAAACGAGAAGATTTTATTAATACCCAACACATCTCAGTGATTATCGTTACATTGTTTAGTAATTAATTATCAGTGAAAAGGGACAAAAACACTACCTTCTCAGACGTGAACCAGGGGATCGCTTGCAACAGAAGCAAGCTAGAGGGTGGTGAAATAAGTCGGGGCTCGACTTGAGAACTTTTTTAAGGTTAACAATGGTGAAAAGGTTGAAGGAGAAGACAAAAGGGATAAAGGTGAGAAAAAGGCACAGATGCTGACAAAATGTTGGGAGCTCAAAAGACTTAGAAATTGGGTTGCTTCAGGCGCCTTTCATTTTACTACAAGCACTCAAACAAATGAACTTGAAAAGGTTAAGAAGAGCAGCAGTGTAGTAATGAATATTCTGTATTTTATTAATACAAATCAAAAGTATATTAATGATTATTCTGTATTTTGTAAATTTTATTAATACAACCAAAAGATAATAGTGACATGATGGAATTAGATATATATATTTAGTTCAGTTCCATTTTATTCAATCTTTTATTTTATTAAAGTATAAAGAATAATAAATATATTGTCATATGTTATGAGAATAGTAAAATAATTTGTTCTTGTAAATATGTGAATGGATTAATAGTAAATTTAATAAATAAATGTATAATACTTATTGATTTTTAATTTTTGTATTAAAAAATGTGTGTGGAGTAAAGAGAGTAAAATGAAATTAAACAAAACTTGAAAATAGTTATTCTATATAGTTTTGTAGATAAGTTTTCTCTATGTAATAAATAAATTTGGACTTTAAAATGAATCCCAGCCTCGGATAAGCCCTATTGAGTGTTGTGTATTAAAAGTTAAAACCATGGTTCGATGTGCCCATCACCAACCAAGCCATATAGTACCATTGAAAAAGCAAAACGCAATTCTGACCGTACCATTTGTGGTATGCTATTACCTTTTGACCTTTATTTGTCAGATCCTATTCTTGTGATCCATATAGGAAAATGTGCACTCTATACTTTTTCACCCTTATATGCAACCACAGCTGTAAAACCAACGTTTAGCGAACAAAAGCTGGATTGAGTTCATTTGTGTTCGACAAAAGTTCATTCGTTTATTAATCGAATCGAGTTCGAATAGAAAGTTAGGTTCGGTTAATAATTGAACTAACACGAGCTCGTTCGATAATGTTCGTGAAGATTAATTTAATAAATTTTATTCTATTTTTTTATATATTTACATAATATTTTTAATAAAAATCTAAACTATAATTTTTTTTTATTTCTTTATGTTCAAGTTCGAACGAACAAATTTCGAGTTAATCATACATGTTTAAAAAATTTATGTATTAGATTATTCGAACATGAACAAACTCGAACTTTGACGAACAATTAAACGAACGAGCTGGACACAATTTTTTGCTCGAAAGATAAACGGACGAACACAAACACAAACAGTGTTCGAGCGTAAATGAACGCGATTTTGAACAGCTCAAACTCGATTCGGTCCAGTTCGTTTACAGCACTAGTGCAACTCATGCATGTATATCTTCTAACTCTTTCCATTAATTAATGGCATTACTATTCACCGCCCCCCTATTACTATTTACCGTCTCCCTTTGGACAGTTTTGCCCCTGGTATTTTTTTTCCAAAAAGTAAAAAAAAAAATTGTTGTCCGGCCGCCGAAATGGCGTCCGGCCCGACGGCCGGTCGTGACCGGACACCAATTTTTTTTAAATAATATTATTAAATTATATATTCAAAATAATTTGTTATAAATTGAACGTTAGAATAAAAAAAAATCATTCAACTGAATTTTAGGAAATAAGAAAAAAATATCATTTAACTGAAGTTTAGGAAATCTATTACTATATAATACAGCTAAGAAAAAATCGAAAAAAATAATTCATTTTCCCGCTCAAATGTTTATTTTCCCCTTAAAATTTTATTTGAAATATTTGGCTAACGTAAATATTGGTATCTCCCGCCCATGAAATTTGGTTTTGCGGATTAATTTCTCACGTGATTCCTAAAATCATGAGTTAATTCCATTTCTAATTCTTTAATTTGATTTAAATTTGGAAGCGATATTTATATATCATGTCAATCCTAAAATCGTAGGTAGAATTTCGTTGGTGTAGAAAAAACAATTGGACGAATGTTTGAGTTGTATAGGTAGAATTTCGTTGGTGTAGAAAAAACAATTGGACGAATGTTTGAGTTGTATGTAAAATTTCTTAACATCTTTAACATGGATAAAAAAACTAACATATATGTCAAAAAATGTTAAATACAATTAAATTTATCTATTCTTTTTTTTTTTTTAAACACCTACAGTTTTATATGCTATTTATTAAAAAATGTCTAAAAACATCTATAATATTTTAGCTAATTTTCATTAATATAAGTTGCAAGATCATTTTTAAAATTAAAAGATTTACATATTATGAAACAAATCGTTCTTTATAAAACCTGAATATTCGATTAATAAAATGTGGATTCAAAACTTTTAAAAAATATTTCATTCAGGAAAGTGAAAGGTTTCGACAGGAAATTTATTTTAATAGATGTAATTTCAATGAGTTGATAAAACTAAATAAAGATGTGATTGTGATGAGTTGAGTCGCATGATCCCGGAAAAGTAGCAGCGGAAGCAAATATAATGGAGGAGTAAAAAATAGATATAAAATATAATTAATTTTAGAATCTAAATTTGGTTATTAGATTTTTAAATTCAAACATTTAAAGGAAAAAATCATAAGAAAATTTTTTGGGTAAATTTTATTTTATCTTGATTCTCATATAATCACATTTCTAACAAACTAATTAATATTATATTTTTTTATCTACATTATCTAACTAAATTTTTTATGACATAACTAATATAATATNAATCTTGCAGGAGAAGAATCCTTTCCCATGCTGTAGGATTTTTTCGACATTTTTTCGAAATTTTTTGGAAGCTCGAATGGCTCGTTGAAAGTTCGGGAATTTAGAGAGATAGGGAATTTAGAGAGATAGAGAGAAAGGGCAAAAGAGTAAAAAGAGGGGCGGTGAGTAGTAATAGAGGGCGACGAATAGTAAATGAATTCATTAATGAATTTTCCTATGATGATAGCAGTTAATTTTGTATTTTCTATCATTTGTCGGGGTAGGTTTTCCCGTGTTTTCCCGTGTAACGTAAAATATGGACATCTAAAAGTTACATTTAGGACGTGTTTGTATATAAATATATCTATTCAAAATGATTTTTTTATTTTATTTTTCGCATATAATACAGGTTGCATATAATTATTTACCTTTATTTAAAATTATATTTTTTCAAATTATTTTACACTGTTCATAATGTAATGTACTTATTTAATTGGATTAATTAAAAATAATAATCCAAAAAAATAAATAAACCATAAGGAAAACATATTTTAAAACCACAAAATAATATTAATTATACATCGCCCACTCGTCGCGTGCACTTTACTAGTTTATTAAAAAAGACGTATCAATAGTAATTACAAGTTTACTACTTCACAGTAAGGACCTCCAAAATTGCATACATATATATATCACAAGCATTAAGTTATGAAGAGATAAAAAAAAACCCTCCTATGATGCTGCATGAAACAACATCATAACATGTAGTTTTAGTAAATCTCAAGTATTAAATCCGTATTTATGCAAAACTAATTCACATCCTCTACACTTTCGACCGATGAACAGGACTACGCGCATGGATAATTGCAGCAGCAATTGCAAACGACTGCAAAGTAGACAGAGTCGACTGGAAATGGACACAGTACAAACCCTCGTGAATATTCGACATTTTGAATATTGGAACATCTTGTTTCGATCCCTGTAAAACAGTTAAACAAGATTACACGGTTAATATGGACATTTACAGAACACAATAGATGATTAAAAATATTGAAGTTTGAATACAGAGGCAGCTGGAACTTGGATAAAGCCTTGTGTATCACTGTTCACACATTACAATTACAAATCATTATTACATCTAAAGCATCATTTTTCATGGATAAATTAGACAAGATACATTAAATGTTAACCTATAATGTCACCAATCAAAAGAACACATTTCAATGAGAATTTTAACTAGTGTAACATCATATAATCACAGCAAGCGCACATTAAAATTTAGTCACGCAATTTAATCAATAATCTAAAACTTCATCACATAATCAATAAGCACTAATCATTTGATCAAATTGAAGTAAAATCTAAAACCTTATCACATAATCAACAAGCACTAATCATCTGATTAAATATAGTAAACAGTTTATCATAACATAGAGAGAGAGAGAGAGAGAGTATATTTATTGACAAACCTGTTTAAAGAGATCAACTGACTTGCAATCCCCCAAACTATCCACCAAATATGATGAATTCGCGCCAGTGGGCCCCACACTGAGAACCGTTAGTGGGCAGCCCAAATCCCAGCCACCACAGTCACACACCCCACCAGAAGCCCACCTCTCGACAAGACTTGAAGGCCCATTATCACCTCCCATTCTCCCTCCACCATGAAAACCCACCGGAATCAAAACATCCAAACTCCCCATGCCCTCGGAGGGCGAAAACGTCTTTAGACACACATCTTTTCCAGATTTCTTCAAAAATTTCAACCCCCAACCCCCAATGCTATTTTTCAAGATTCTGTCCTTTACTATAATAGCAGCCATCTCTATGTTCTGCTGCAAGCAATCGTTTTCCGACCTCATCTCCTCGAAAATGGATGAAGATGGCCTCTGTTTACACGAGTGGCTCGACCGAAAAACTTTCGCCACCTTACTCACCAATCTTTGATTCTTCTTTCTATTATGATTCGAGAACTGTAGATCATCTGTACAATGACCCTCACCAGAAAGAGACAGAACAAACCGAGTCTCCTTAACTTCAGATGAACTTGAGGTCCACACTTTCATTGTGCATAGGATATGAGGCTCGAGTTCTTCACACATGAGTTCTTTCTTTCCTTTCATTCTCGAGCTGAAAGTGTAAATATACTCAAAATCCTTATCATCTTTCGACAGGCTGGCGGTGTATACCTCTGTCTTACCATTCACGCTAAAAACAAAAAAGGGCATCCCATCTTTCCACTTGCAATGCAACATTCCTTGAAAAGACGACTTCTCCGAATAATTCGCGTTCATGCTTGATATAGACATAGCCCTTTTATGATCTGGTGGATATGCGCTACTTTTTTTGGGATTAATAACCGTTACCTTGTTTTCAGGCATTGAGGAGTTACTTGGCTCACGCAATGAGTACGGTAAATGGGAATAAACTGGCTCGAGTAAATGTTTTACCCGGATATTGACGCCAAAATCAGTTGAGCCGAAATTTTGAGTCAAAGGCCTATTCAGTATGTTGATTATACTCTGGCTACCTGTGTGAATTCCTTGCTTAGCCCCCATATCATGTTGACCTATAATTTTGGTTTGGGCTAAATATGTCCAGTCATCGGGCGGGATTTGCGCTTTGGAGGCAAAATTAGAGGCAGCTGCTCTTAATGCGTAATTACGTAACAATTCAAGGCAATGCAGGACATACTTTTCGTCAAAGGATGTAATATGTTTAGGAATACCACTAAGATGAATACCGTTAGTGTTTGGAAGGAATATGTCCTGGCAACTACTTGAACTGGATCTTGATCTCATTACATTCGGTATTGAAGTTTGATCGAGATCTAATTCAATTACACATGGATTCGAGACCTTCGCCACATTTTCCTCGATTTCGTTGTCTTTGGGTACATTCATACTCGAATAATTAACTCAAAGCTTCTGTTAGGTAAAATCCCTCTTAGGGTAAAGGGTAAAGAACAAACTCCGGTATTCTGGCCTTTTGGCAATTGATACTTTCGACC